GAGACTAACGAACAGCAATTTATTTATATATAGATGTTTTAAAAAAATACAAATTAAACTACATATATATACATATATCTATAAAAATAAATAACGAGTGAAAAGAAATTTTGTTTACAACGAAAAACTCGTGAGCATAACATACTATATCTTATCTTAATACTACCGTATCTTTTATGACAAAAGATAGAAAAATAAAAGAAAAATAGAGAAAGGTAGTGGCGATGATTTTCGAGAGGTCAAGGTCACCGAAAGGGATATCTGTTCTTACTATCTTGAGATGGGATAGTTTAACCACAATATATATATCCTACTAATATTATAATTGCGAAAGTTTTGGGGGTGTGTATGTTTGTTACTTCTTCACGCTCAAACGGCTGAACCGATTTTGATAAAATTTTGTATACAGGAAGCTGACGTCCAGGAATAACACATAGACTACTTTATAACCCGGGAATCCGCGGGGCGCAGCTAGTATATATATGTTTGTGTTTGTATATACATGTATGTGTGTGTCTTAACATATATATACTATATTATGATTAATATATAATATTATAGTACATTCATGTATTTAATCACAATGTAATATTAAGTCATTGTTTTTCACATAACATGACCTCGGATGGAATTTCGGCTGATCGCGCGTTTAACGTGAGAACAGAATATTCACAGTTTGAATAGTATTAAAAATATATAAATTATCAATAAGAGATTTCTGTTAATATTATTTAAAGAAAAAGCATGTGCTGATTTTGATAAAACTTCACATTAAGTCGAAATACATATCAGGATTAATGAAACTAATATTTTTCGGATTTACTACATACTCCTACTTTATTTTTGTAAAAAACTACATACTCCAGACATTTTGGTTACTTTACAGCAACCGCGATGACGGGCAGACGAGAATCAAGATGTAAGTGTCTATCAGTCGGTCTTGTTATTTTATCACCTACAGCCATCGATTTCTTAATCTTCTGGCATACTGGATGCTGGCAGAATGAGCTCACAGCATCCTGAGATCCTACGGTGTGGTCAGGGACATGGGATTTTATATTTTTTTAAGAAGGTGATCCCAGGTGTTTGATAGATTCTAGCCAGCTTCTCTATTGAAATGGGGTGTCTAATTTCAATAGCCAATGGATATATAAAGTTACTATCTTTCCACCCGCAGCTTCGCCCGAGAGGAGTTCGTTTATATCGCGTTTCCAAGAAAACCTTTTAAAAATCTGGGATAAAAACTATCCTATGTTCTTTCTCAAGATCAACTCTATCTCTGTACCAAATTTCATTAAATTTAGTTCAGTGGTTTAGGCGTGAAAGCGTAACAGACAGACAGACAGAAATACTTTCGGATTTATAATATTAATAGGTATATAGAGTTTTATATTAAAAACAACATATTCTCATTTCTCTTCATGTACTAGTATCATCGTAGGTTTAAACTTGGTTATCATTGTTAAATAATTGGTATAATTAACTAATTAACACTTGATTACACAGAACGGCTATTAAAAGTGTTTCGTTATCAGAACCGACACTTCTTATACGCTTAATATACAGGGTGACTGGTGAATTACTATCGATACTTGAGGACGTGATATTTGACGATCATATATGACAAAATAAAAATTAATATAACATAAATATTAATAAACTTCTAAGTAAAGTGAACCAAAAGTTGTGTAATTAATTACGCATCGTGTGAACACCCTACAGATTAGGTATATAGACACACACACACACACACGTCGGCGGCGTGGTGTTGTATCAGCACGCCGCCGCACGCGTCCACACTTGGAACACTTGGAATGTATCCACACTTTATTTATTTATACGGAAATTTGGTCAAAAATTAAGTACCCATTTTTTTAACATATTTCGAATGAGAATCATATACCGAGTTTGCTCCTTAAATATTGATAGTAATTCACCAGTCACCCTGTATAACAATAAAATTATAAATGTACCAAAAGTATATTTTCAAAACTTATCTTAATTCTTATTTAATAGCAAGTCTGTATTTAATAAAATAAATATATTAAAAATAATTAACTGTGATTGCAAAAAAATCATACCAGAATAAAATGCTCAAAAATACATTATTTAAATATCAAAAAAATATTTAAATAAGTAAAGGATTTTAAAACATCAATAATTCGCGACACATAATGTGATGGAAAAATTATTATTGTTACTTTTTAAGAAATATGTTTCAGGTAAACGTAATTCAAATTTTTAAAACTTGAAAAAAATTATAAAAGCAATTTAGCCCTGAATCAGTCACAGGTGAATCATTTGTGACTCATTACACGAGGATATTACAGTATATGATGAAAGACAAACATATAATACGAACATATATACATATATATTAATAGCATAATCGTCCATCAATAGAAACTATATATTAATTAAATATATTATATAATGATAATAATAATCTTGTAGTTTTGATTAAAAAAATTTGTTGTTTCCCAATTTTTTTGAATCAAACTTAACACTAACAATTTTAAAGTTCATCTATACTATTGAATAATTAATTTAATGTGAACAGCAGTCATAAATATATAATATATTATTGTCTGTCTGTTTGTTCTAGATAATCTCTAGTCTGAAAAGATTTTGACGTTAGTTTCTATCATAGATAGACAATGTAATGTTTTTAACTGACTTCAAAAGAAGGAGTACTCGATTCTACAATACATTTACACTTACCACTCCATTAATTACTAGATAATCATTTAATTACTTTTCTAATCAAAATTACCTTGTCCTGATGTAAACCGAATGTAAGTTGGTCAGGATTTGCCGAGGAATGGATTCTCATAAGAATGATAATGTATATATCAAACAGAGTTCAATATATGGACAAAGCAGGGACAACAAGTAGTAATTATTAATTATTGACACATGATAATAAATATATTAACTGGATGATGCCTATGCATAATTTCACTTCACTATATAAAATCTAATATGTACATATTAATCAATAATTTATTGAATAATACAGAACCACAAATTAATTTTGACAATGAAATTGATATCAAAATCTAATAAGACAATAGTTACAATCATACAAACAAAAAAAAATAACAAATAACAAAGCATTTTGTACCAATTTCAAACAAAGGAAGTTCTTAATTAGACCGATTGTAAGTATCATCATATGTGGCATCCGTTTGCTTCGATCTCAACAAAGTTAGATTGAACATTATATTTATATTTCTACTTATTAGAAATTAAATTTAAAACTATATTATCTTATTTATAAAATTCTCGTGTCGAGTTGTTAGACAGAGAACTTCTCTGAAACAGCTGCATCGATTTTGATGAAATTTTGTGAGCATATTGATTAGGCTACCATCTATTTTTCTTACCTCTAAGTCATAAGGATTGTTCACCCCAAAATTTGTACTTTTTTTATCACCAACTCCTATTTTTATATGGTAAAACAATGTTTGCCAGGTCAGCTAGTAATTATTTTGATTATAATAATATAATAATATACTATACTTCAATTCAATGAGGAATGCCAGTTGTTACAACAATAATTTTAATGCATAAATATTAAAAATATATAAAGATGTATGAAAACACAAGTTTCGTTTTTTATTTGCATTACATAACTCATATTGATAGCGTATCACTGAGTTTATTAGATACAATTGATTCAACAACGCTCCGTAAAATACTTGGGTCTATTGTACAATGGACACTTGTAATATGTTGGTATGACACAAATATTTAATATTAAAGAAATTATCAAAATATTGTAGAAAAAGAATTTCAGAAATAACAAAAGCTCATAAAGATTTTGATATAGATATTATAAAAATTCAGTATCATAATGATACAAAGGAAAAAATTATTTTAATGAATTCATTATTAAGTAATTTTTATCTAATTATAGCAAATTCAATTAAACACTTGATAAAATGATTATTTGAACTTTAAATGAATAATTAACATTTTGATGTATATAATAATATCTTATTTTATATATTTTTTTATATATAACTATATAAATTGTGTGAAAATTAACTTGATTGAAATGATTGCATATAGGTCCGACCTAGAATCTTGATCAACGGAATGAAGTCAGGGTTGAGGAAATTATACATGTATATAGAAACTAACATGGTTATATATAAGAGCTATATATAAGCAAATACATTATTATAATTTTTCACATATAGAGTAAAATTTATTTGTTTTTTTGCTGTTTAAAATATACAGTCAAACTGATGTATTTTGGGATCTTTTTATAAATTATTTAAACATGTATTGTGTATGATAATATATATTCATAAGCAATTGTGATTAATATTTTAATGTAATATTTAATTTTATCTTGTTTTAAACATATCAAAGTTATGAATTGTATTTTAATATAATATTATAACATTTTTATTTATTTTTCAGCCACAATAATCTGTCTATAAGTCTAGTCTATAAGAATCTAAAAAGAATAAGTTTGATTATTTTTCCCTGAATTAAAACAGTAAATTTGTTTCTTAGTAATTGTAGGTTTTACTATTTCTATAAAATATTTTAAGTATAAGAAATTAATATATAATTTTATTACTGGATATACATACTTTGTCTATGAATGGAGTGTATATTGATATAATTTTGCTTTTTATCCTTGGAATACAACCTGTCGTTGTTCTTATATGAATTTATATATATGTACATAATTAAATAATAAAATTATTTGCTTTGTTGGGTGTGTACCACTTGCTCCAAAATAACCTAATTTACATGAAGGTCACATAATTTGGAAGTTATTTTTTTGTAAATTATTTTAAGAAACTTATATTTATTTTTGCTTTAAAATTCCGATCACAGACTGAATTGACACATTAAATTGGATCGCATTCTAGTCGTCACCCAGGCACCGTTATAAAGAATAAACGAAATGAATCACCCACAAACTTGTTACTTCTAATGGATTGCTGATGAGAAAAAATAGAGATAGGAAGGTCTCCTACCTTGTACACATCTCCGTAAGTGCCCGAACCAATTCTCTGAATGAGCTCGTACTCATCTTGAGGGTTTCTTCGAGATATATCTGAACTTAAAACACCACCACTATGCGCCATAATCACTAGCGAGCACTAATATAACATTTATTTACACTTTCATCTCATTATTCACATAATTGTTACACAAAAACGTAGACATATTACTAATTTTTTACAACATAAACCCGACATCTCCAATTGACGTCTGACACCACAGAGTATAAAGAACATTGTGGCATGTCACGTCTGCGATTCGATGATTTAGATTTTGTTGTCTACGTAAAAAAATAATTAAAAAAAAAACTCTCTATTATTTTTGAAAAAATAATTATTATATTGTTTTGTTTATATTGTAAAAAATTACGTTTTTATTTTTTTTGTGTTATATGGATGTTTAACTTTTTGTACACCAATCGTATAACATAATCTTGACAATAAGACGCTCTTAACATTTCTTGTTGAGTTTAGAAAAGAAAAAGCTTGATTCTGATAGGAACCACTATGGGAAAGGTGTAGAAACTGCAACTTTTCTGCTAATGAAGAGAAGTCCATCTTATGTACTAAATAAATATACTGTTAAATATCTGGGCTGGTATCTTTGGCTGCTAAATTTAGTACCCACATTACTAGCTTTTCCTTGAATATATTTAAAAAAAAAACTATTTATCAAGCAAATTAGACTTTTGACTGACGTATTCTACAACACGTACATTTAATATTAGTATAAAAGTGCCAATACTTCTAAAGATTTATGAATACTCGAATATACTATAAAATATATAACTATATACTTATTATCAGTAGTTATAAAAATGTAGATCGTTATTTTTAAATCCATCTCATATATAGTATTCTATGAGACTTTGTAACTCTTCATATTAGGTATATAGTCGGGGACAGTGCAAATCCGCGTAACTAACACTGGATAATTCCACGTATCTACATTGGAAGCAGACTATCAGAAGAAAGTTAAGCTGAAATATTTTCTATATTGACGACTTTTGAGGTAGTTTTTCTTACAAATAGTAGTAAATTAAACACTAAATGATTAATAAAATATTTCAGACTAACTAACCGCGTAACTAGACGCGGATTTGCTCTATCCCCGACTATATATAAAGGTTGTCGCTACATATGTAAATGAAACATGAAGCAAATGTTAAAATGGTATATTTATTACAATCCAATATCTCGGCCGGCATTCGCGTAACGTGTTACAAAATCTGTTTATCGCCGACGCTACAATAATAACTTCTAACACTTTATTATAAAATTATATAATCTTTTGGTTCATTCCATTATAAGTGCACTTTTACATACGTTACATTTTCACGTAGAATTACAATCAAGCGACGGGAAATTTTTAATTTCCACACAATAATCACCTTCTATATAACTGATCTGCTCGTATTGAACACATTAACAGCTGATGCCATCGGAGAAACAGATGAATTAACTACTGAGGGATTGATATATAACAGAAGTAGGAAATATATGGAAATCATTATTGAATTGGAATGATATATAATATATATGTATAAGTATAAGTATGGCACAGCTGATAATGTGTGATAATTATTTTGCAACAAGTTTTTACCTCAATACATACAATGTGTAAACTCGGTATGTATTTACAACAGAACTCTATATATTTTCGCAGATGTAACAATTTTTAAAGCATTATTCTTTTATATAAATGAATCATATGTTATTGCTTCATCATCAACAGTTCATGGCGAGCCACCATTATAATATTCTATGTCGATATATATATGATATAATCCATTTGAACACATTCAAGCCGTCAAGATGTTACTTCCCACACAGATGATATGAATTAAACTTTTTGACTTGACATTTTGCATAAATATTATCTTCCACCAAATTTTTTGTACTAAACACTAATTTATATACAGTGAATGAAATAATATTTATTTGGTAAAGCGCTTACAACAACGGCAGCTGAACTATAATGAAATCATATGTGATAGAAGAAACTGTTCATTAAATTCACTAAAAGCATGCTTTGGCACTTTCACCGTTCACAAAATATAATACGGACAATGAAGACATAGTTGTGAAGATAGTGACCGGGTGATAATTTACAATTTAACCTATTATAAACTAACAAACAGATATACACACAAACTAACATTTCAAAATCAAAGAGATCTATGTCACCAACGGCCTCCGAATAACCGGAACTAAGATATAGTAAGTCAAGCTCGGAAACAAAGTCAAATAATCATAAAATTTAGCTACAAGATGAAGTGCTCTCGATCGTACATCACAAAATTACCTAATAATTAATATTATCTATTTAAAATACATAATAACCAACATGAAGGAATTAAATCTAATGGTAATAGGGAGAGGTGACTTAAAGTAATAGTAACATTAAATAATATAAAAAAAACAGGTTAATTAATTAGGAGCTAGGGGCTAGCTGGGTGAATAAATAATTTCCATTTAAACTACTCGTGAGCAACCCGCCTATTATATTTTGGAATTTTGTTATCTCAAAATATAAATTCGTACATATATATATATATGTTTTATTTATTATTTGGTTCACCTCCTAGTGTTGCGAGCTCGTGTGTTTCGTTTGGGCTTGGCTTGTCTTTTCGCTTTGCCTTTCTTGTTCTTATCTACTGACTGACCTCGTCTGTCTGACTCGAATGAGAAGGTGGGTATGACCGTCTTTACCTCAGAGGGTGACAGACTGACCTCAAGCCTCCTCCTCCTCGAGCGGGTCATTCTCATGTCTTGTTCGGGTTTAACTTCTATATTCCTCTTGGGTCTAACTATTTTTCTATTCTCTATTTTCGCATCACTATTCTTTGATTGCCTTCCATTCTGTCCTTTTTCTCTCAACACAGGTTTGGCTATTTCCTCATATTTCCTCTTTCTTGTAACTCTTGTTAGAATTGTTTTATCGTTTTCTATAGACTCTTTGGTATTCCTAGTTATTTTAACTTCCTCAATATTCTTCTTGGGTCGTCCTCTGCCTCTCTTTTGAGTCGATTCCACTTTCTTAGTAGATCTTGTGTCAATTTTTCTTCTTTTCGCGACCGGTGATGTTGATCGTGAATTCTTCTTGCGTGTCGTCTTAGGGAAGGCTACTTCTGTATCTTCAAGTCCATGGCTGCTTTCTATGTATATGTATTCGTCTAGTTTTGATCTAGGCTTGGAGTATGTCTTTTCTACTGGTTTGAGAGGTGATACTTCGTAGTTATCATCGTTAATATGTTCGTCATCTTCGCCGGGCGTGTGCACGGTGTTAGCCTTGATGATCTCCACATCTTGTTCTATGGAGGTCTTGTTGATCCTGTGTAATGTATCCAATGTATCAGTGATGGATGTATCGTGATCTTGATCCGTATCTGTAACTTGTTCAACGTCGCTGTAGGCCCGCTGCTTGTTCTTACTGCGACGCTTGTAGAGATCGGCTTTGGTCATATCCTGTAATATGAAACATATTATTTTTAATTCAAGACATTGGTTTATAAAACTATATAATTCTATCATGTCATTGTTCATGTAGTAATAGGATATGTTTAAATGATAAAAAGATATATTTAATGTTATATACATGTATCATGAATTTAAATATTGTATAACAAAATTCATATCACATACTTTTTACGTTTTTGTCATATGAATAAAAAAAAACTATTTCAACTTATGTATTATTCTGATGTACTTTTTACATACATTACATATTTCATTGCCACAACAGTGAGTATTTATATGTATATTTGGAAAAACAAAATGTAAATATAATATATATATCCATCCATCCATATGTATGTTTTGCTCCTAGATATAATAAATGTCATCAGCCTATCAGTGCACACTGCTGAGCAAAGGCCTCTTTCTCACATGGAGAAGGTTTGAGCATTAATCACCACGCTTGCTCAAGACGGGTTGGTGATTTCAAACTTATTATTGTGAAACTATAAGTCCAATTTTCCTCATGATGTTTTTATATATATATGTGTGTGTGTCTGTGTGTGTGCGTGTGTACCTGTAGTTTAAACCCTCCCCCGTCGTCGCAGTTCACCCCCAGCTCGTGCAGCACCTGTGTGATAGTCAGCCTCTCCGCTGGCTCCACAGACAGCAGGCCGGCTATCAGACGCTTACTGTCACAAGATATGTTGTCCCACACAGGACCTGGAGTGAGAAAAATAGCATTAATATACATATAGTAGAAACTTATTAACTATTCATAACTGTTATAATATAGATATATAAACTTTAAATATGAATACTTATGAAGAATATTATTGTACATAATGGGAAGTAAATATTAAAAATTTTCTTTATTTTAATAATTCTCATAAAAGTATATAAAATAGAAATTGCTGAGGATATATTTATCTATGGAATTAACAAATCTATACTCAGCAAAGGGTAATAGAAAATAATTGTTGTTTTTGTGTCACTTATTAGTTATTACTTTTAGTATAACAGGTACTACATTAATAAGTACACAAGCTCGATTCCGCGGCTCTGTCCAAGCAAAACTGATATTTATAGATGAATAAAAATAAAATTAGATAAATAAAAAGTTTATGGAAATTTAGTTAGTCAGTATTACATTTGTCAATTTTATCACATTATAGTCTTGACAAAGATTAGTAAATGAGAATCGTGTGAAAATGCAAATTTTGTGATAATGAAACATCTGGGGCATTTAAAATAATCAAGTGTCCAACTTAAGACAAGAACATTAATATATACAAAATATATATGTTATTGTAATATGTCCACCTTATATACATATTCATTTTTACTTAGAAGAGTTCATTATAATATTACAAACAGACAGAATACTTTTATTTGTCTATGTCTATGTGAGTGTGTGAGTGTCTGTTTGTATGTCTGTGTCTGTCTGTATGTGTCTATGTGTGTGTGTGTATCTCACCGTCCATAGTGAAGGTGCCGGCCCTAATCCTCTGCACGAGGGCGGCGACCGGCTCCCGCCCGCCCGGCGAGAAGGGCGCCCGCCCAGACACGAGGCAATACTGAAATATAAAGAAACGGATTGAAGTTAATACATATATATACTAGTTTAATACTGCAGTTAGTAATATAATTAATAACATAAAATACATATTACTCTTTTAGATATAAAACTATTTTTAAAACAGACATTTTTTAGAATCAAGGTTTAGTATTATAAATCCTGAATGTAATTTGTTCGATTTTCTTGGAACACTGATTCGATCTTGTTCAAATTGTTCATCTATATAATTGACAGGTTGATTTATTACATATGAAATATTGAAAAGATACAGTATAAACTTTTACCAAAACTCTTTTCTCCAAGTCAACTTGCTCATAATATTAATACATATAACTCACAAATATAACTCCCAGGCTCCACAAATCACATCCGGGCCCGTAGCCGGCCGCCGCGCCTTTAGCACACGACACGACCTCTGGCGCCGCGTACGGTAAACTAAAACAAAACCAATAGATATTAATAACATTATACAACTTTATTATTCATAATCAGATTGAAATGTAATAATCATTTAATATATGTACATATTTTAATATGTATATTTTTATTTATTTATGTACCAAAAAGAAAAAATAGTTACAATTAAAGTATTATAAAAGAAATGTGATGTACAAAGGATAACTTATCTCTTAAAAGAGATCTCTACAAGAAATCCTTTTGATAGAGGAAATGAGAAATGTGGAATAGATACAATAAATTAATGAGAGAAGGAAAAAATTAAAAAAAAGAGGTATATGGATATATATAAGAATACAAACCAAATTATATAATAGTATAAAATTCAGATATTATTTATGTTTGAATATAGAAACTTTCTTCTTTATTAATAATTTAATAACGACTATACTGGTTTGGATGGAAATTGGGGGAGAGATAGATTAGAACATAGAAAGGATATAGTATACTATTCATATAATAATACAAAATCTTCTAATCTACTGTCTTTAAGGAGCACAGAAACTAATATTATTCTGATTACTACAAGTATTTTATTATTATAAAAACTACATACTCCCAACATTTCTTTTGCTTTACAGCAACCGTGATCACGTATAGATCATCTTAAGTATGAAGTTTTCACAAAAATAAAAAAAACACTTATACTCCGAAAAATATTAGTTTCATTTAAATACTCGCTAAAGTTTTAGATCTATTTAAGTAGGAATATAGTTCTCCTAGTCTATACATTTCTAATTATGAAACTAACGCAGACAAAGCCGCGGGCACAGACTAATATATCTTTATATATATAATTCTTCTGTGAGTGTGTATGTCACTGAACTTCTCTCAAACGTCTGGAGCGATTTCTATGAATTTTTTTGTGTGTTCAAGAATTGTTTAGATTCACAATTTTGTCCGCTGGACAATGTTTTTTAATTAATTTTTAATTTATTAGTCGTTGATACATTTTTTTTTTTTGGCATTAGATTTGACAACTAACTAATATGTCAATCATTCTGTCGCACTTCAAAACACGGATATTTATGAATTTAATAGGTAAACTCCAAAAATAGAAATAAAAAACGTAACAGATATTTCTTGATTATAGGGCGATACGAAGATCGCCGGGTCTTCTAGTATATATATTACCTAAAGCAAGGCGTCATCATCCTCTGCCTATCATCACAGTCCGGCAGTCGCCGCGCGAACCCAAAGTCCACTACTTTCACCTTGGCTTCGTGTAGACGAGTACTGCTCAGAAGAATGTTCTGGAAACGAAAGCTTTATTAGTATATATAGATCATTTATATATTGTATACTAGATGGCGTTAGTTGTGATTGTAGTTATATTATTATATATGTATATTGATTATTGATATTGTTAATACTTCTTCTACCTTGCAATTACCCAGCTTTAGCCAGGGCCTTACATGTTGAGAATAGTATTGGCTAATTGTTTTTACGACCGGCCGCCTGCCTGACATCACTCTCTTTGGGAATGCATTAATCAGTGATGTCTAAATACTCTTATAAAGTACACATGACTCGGAATAATCATATTGGTACTTGCTAGGATCGCACCCGCGCCCACATGTATGAGAGGCGGGCCTTTAACCACTAGGCCACCACTATATGTGTGTGTGTCTGTCTGTCTGTGTGTGTCCCTCACCTCCGGCTTGAGGTCCCTGTGCACGACGTTCCTCGCGTGCATGTGTCTCACAGCGAGCGCCAGTTGCACCATAAGTCTCCGCGCGACCCTCTCACTCACCGCGCCCAACACAGAGGAGAGCTCTCCGCCAATGGCTAGTTCTGTTACTATGTATGTGAACGCCTGAAACATATATACATATATATATTGTAGTATTAAATATATGTATATTTGGATTTTGTTAGATTCTCGTGTAAAAATGTTGTTGGATTGGATTGCCTGAAAGTCATAGTCACTTGTATTTATTATACTAATATCTGATACTTAAAAACTACTACATTGATGAGAACTTTATATAAAGGTTTTGGATTGACAAAATTCTCTTATTAGAGGTATGCATACTTTTCTTGATAGTTTAAATTCGTTATGAAGGGGTTGTTGGCAATGAAAAGGTATATTTTGTGATAACTCTTATGGATAATTCGAGGGGATTGTGAAGAATTTGTTAAATCGAGGAAGTCGTTATATTAAGAGGGCACTGTATTGTATGTATGTATGTGTGTATGTCTGTCTGTGTATACTCACGGTGTCGTGGAACACTTCGTGTAGCTGTATGATGTAAGGACATCCCTGGCAGGTCTTCAAAAGCTCTATCTCCTGCTTCACGTCCTTCTTCTGGGACGATATTATCTAGAGTACAGACAACACATTAATATAGATATACTAGCATTCCGCCCGCAGCTTCGCCCTCGTGGAGTTCGGTTATATCGCGTTTCCAAGAGAACCTTTCTAAAGTCTGAGATAAAAACTATCCTATGTTCTTTCTCAAGATCAACTCTATATCTGTACCAAATTTCATTAAAATCAGTTCTCAGTGGTTTATGCGTGAAAGCGTAACAGACAGACAGATAGAGTAACTTTCGCATTTAGAATATTAGTAGGGATGACAGAATTTAAATAGAATTTAGTATTGAAGCTCTTTTTTCTAGGCTTATATTAGATATACTCTTTAAAAATAATATTCTAAGTTCCATAAATAATATAAAATTAATATTTAGATATGTTAAGATATATAATAATCAATTACCAAATTTTCTTATTCAATGACAGACAAATATGTATAACATGTAAATTATTGAACCAAACAACTTTATTATATTTTGTTAATAAAGTTATGTAATGTGTACTTTAAACAATTTTTTTAATGAGAACATTGATAAACTCCAGTCAATCTTATAAGCGAAAACTCACAAACTACAACTAAGTGTTGCCATCAATAAATTTAAGTACACTGTACAGCATATAAAAAGAGCTAAATATTGGTATCGTAAAGTCGAAAAAATTATAGTGTAATACTTTTTTTTAAGTGAATTATTGACAGTTAGAATGATATGATTAACTATAGTGTGGTGTAAATTAAACTAATATTTTCGGATTTATTAGGCGTTTTTTTATTTAATACGCGTTTTTTTATTTATTATAAACTACATACATTATATATCTCGTCTGTCCGTGATCACGGTTGCTGTAAAGTAGCAGAAACGTCGGGAGTATGTACTTTTTAAAATTAGTAAAATAACGCATAGTATATCTGAAAATATTAGTTTCATTTAAATGAGTACTCGCGAAAGTCTTAGATCTCATTATAGGTGTGGTGTGTTATATACTCGTATAACATGAACAATATCATATAGCTAGTAATTCAACTAGCATCTGTATATATATATATGTGTGTGTGTATGTCTTACCTTCACAGCGTACTCCTTGCCCGTCTGTCTATGTATACATTTCCTACAAACAGCATACGAGCCGTCACCCAAAAGAGGAGTGCTGAGATCAACAGAATACTTCTGGAAGAACGGCGAGTCCTGGGAAACATATATATTGTTAGAATAACATATACTGAAAATATATATTAGTATTTTTTAATTCTGTCTATTTGAATTCAAATCTTGTATATATCTCTTTATCACAAATAAAACATTAAAAGTTCATCATCATTTCAATACATACAATGATTGTAAATAACTTGTGCACTAAATTGATAATTATTATAATAATTTCTTATATATAAACCACATATAAATTCCAAATAAAAACAAATATATTTATATTACAATAATTTTTAAGTTATTCCAGTATCTATAAATATTCTCCTTGTAACATCTTCTACTTCTACCTGGCAATTTCCCAGTATTAGCCAGGGTCTGCCCTACATGTTGTGAATAGTTTTGGTTAATTGTTTTTACGACCGGCCGCCTGCCTGACATCAACCCTCTTTGGGAATGCATTAATCAGTGATGTCTAAATACTCTTAGAAAGCACATATGACTTTCAAAATCACATTGGTACTTGCCCGGATCGAACCCGCGCCCTCATGCATGACGGGCGGGTTTTAACCACTAGGACACCACTGATTTTAACATATGCTTTGTATAAAATCCCTTTTTATTTCTTAACATAACATATAGTATAAACACATTACTACATACTTCTAAGTCAGTCAATGTTATATATAATTAGTTATTACCTTAGCGATCCATCCTTTGAGTTTCTCATGCTTCTGTCCGGTTGCCTGTAGCCAGATCTGATCCGAGATGATGTTCTCAGAGAATAGGATGCTGGGGGCCACGTATGAGTAACCTGACATACAGACATACAAGATATATATATATATATATTAGTTATATGTTTATATAATAAAGATATCATGAAACAAGAGAATAAGATGGGAAATTATGTTGTCATTAATGTTACAGGTTATTATTTGAATGATAGAATGGGAGCAAATAAATCTAAAGCAAAAACAATTCAGACTAAATATTTTTTTTATCTTTTCTAGTAGAACTAAATGTAATGTGTCTTATAACTTCATTAATCATATTTAGAATCAGCCTAAATATTCAACAAATTATATACCATCCATATAATCTCTACAATCCCTAATTATCTCTGTACCAATTTATATAGAAAATATAAACTATCATTTTAATCTCATCTATCTCTAACTATCTCATCTATCTCTTCTATCTTTAACTATCTCTTCCATCTCATCTATCTCATGTATCTAACTAACCCAGGAACAGTTTGTCGTGATGTTTGGGCGCCTGTGCCGGCGAATCAGTGGGCGGCATCCTCGTGAACTCGTCAGCGAAGTTGCACGTATCAGCTGCGTGTGACAGTTGAGGCACGAAGGGCGCGGGCACCTCGCGACGGGATACAGCCTCCCAGTCTAGGTCCTGGAAGATATTATTAAGATATTTATTTAATATTATCGACCTTGGTTTATGTTATCGAAGTTTTCGCAAGGATCCCGAATTTTTTCAAAATAAAATATAGCCTATGTTACTTTGGAAAGATGTACAATCATAATGGTGAAAGAATTTTTAAAATCGGTCGGAATTTTTAAGTCTTAACAGCTTAATATCAGACAAACTTATATTTAATGTACCAGCAGTAATTAAGAATGATGTTCCTATGTCAAGAACAAAGTCTTAGGAATAAATTTGATTCTAATTTTGTGAACTATTCCAAAAAATAATTTCATATATAAAGAAAATATATATTTACAGTCAACTATTAATATTAACTTATATTTGTATATGGCGAAAAAGATTTAACTCAAATAAAAATTTTTTTGATCAAATTTAATATCAATCAAGAATATTTATATATTACAAGAATAATAAGAGTAGTTTAATGAGCGAAAACTTTTAGTAAACTTAAATAATACATAGTTACTAATAATAATTTTAAAATGTATTTAATTCGCACACACGTGAATTTGCAATATAAAAACGTCAAAACTATAGTTTAGTGTGACAATGCTAACTGCTAATAAGGTTAAAGTATCAAATAAATATCAAATATAACCGCACATTATCAACAGAACATTTAAACATTCCCACATTAATATACAGGATGACTGGTGAATTACTATCGATACTTGAGGACGTGATATTTGACGATCATATATGACAAAATAATATAACATAAATATTAATAAACTTCTAAGTAAAGTTAACCAAAAGATATGTAATTAATTACGCATCGTGCGAACACCCTACAGATTAGGTATAGACATACACACACACGCGTGCGGCGGCGTGGTGTTGCATCAGCACGCCGACGCACGCGTCCACACTTGGAACGTGTCAACACTTTATTTATTTTATACGGAAATTTCGTCAAAAATTAAGTATCTATTTTTTTTACATAATTCGAATGAGAATCATGTACCGAGTATTCTCCTTAAATATTGATGGTAATTCACCAGTCACCCTGTATATAAACCACAATATAATGTGTAATTAAAATATTTTCGAACGATAATGAGTGTTGGAAAATAATAATAAATTAATAACCGACAGGGAAAATGGAAATTATTATGTTTCATCATCATCATCATCAGTCTATCAGAGCCCACTGCTGAGTCTCTTCTCACATGGAGAAGGTTTGAGCATTAATCACCACGCTTGTAAGACGGGTTGGCGATTTAAAACTTATAATTTGATATTATAAAATATCCAGGTTTCTCACGATGTTTTCCTTCATCTGTCAGTGATGTCTAAATTCTCTTATAAAGTACATATGACTCGGAAAACACATTGGTACTTGCCAGTTTAATGTTCATAGTATATTCATATCCCGACTTTGCCTGCTTTTTTTAAACAAATGTATAGAATATTTCATACCTGGAAGAATGGATGTCGTTTCAATTCCTCTGCATCATCATCACCGCCTCCGAGACGACGACGTGGGTCCTTTACTAGAAGTCTGAAATAAAATATAAAGAATTGTAACATAAAACACTTATTACCTATTATATTGAAAATTACTAACTGACGATTAAACTGATAGTTATTTTTAACCACAAATCTACATAATTACTAATTAGTAATTAGTTCTAATCCATACTAATATTATAAATGGCAGAGTAACTCTGTCTGTTACGCTTTCAGGCTTAAACCACTGAACTGATTGTAATAAAATTTAGTACAGACGTAGAGTTGACCTTGAGAAAGAACATAGGATAGTTTTTATCCCAGACTTTGAAAGGTTCTCTTGGAAACGCGATATAACCGAACTCCACGCGGGTTAAGCTGCGGGCGGAAAGCTAGTATATATCTTACTTCTTGATGAAATCCTGTACAGCGGGGCTCACATCGTTGGGTACGGGGTAACTGCATCTCACAATTCTCTTCGTAATCTCCTGCTGAGTGTTCTTTTCACCTTCGACAGTGAAGGGCGAAGCACCCGTCAACAGTTCGTACGTTAAAACACCCACTGACCACCAATCCACGGCCTATAACGATATTACATTCAAATAAAACATCTCACAACAAACAACATAACATCAAATTATGCTGTAATATAAAATATAAAACATTAATATATTTATCATAGCAGTAATTAAGGTTTATTTGCTGACTTAGAAATCTATTAACCTGATTAAAAATACACGCGAAAAATATTATTAGTTGTTCAAACAAAATTTCGAGTCACGTGACGCGCGCGAAAACAATTCACCAATACCATTACGTGATTATTTGAATTTCTTCAAAATGAAGCGTTGTTATTGGTTCAAGTGACTTTTACTTTAAATGGAGCGTTCCTATTGGTCGAAATTCAAGCGCCAAAACATAACAATGTTTGTTTTGATTTTATTCTTTTATTTTCAAAATTCAAATTATTTTTATCAAAATGCTGCAACGTGATTTGTTAAAATTTTAACTTTTTTCAAATGCAGCAATCCCATTGGGCGTTATTGATATGTAATTTGTTTAATTCAGTGTTAGTTCTTTATTATCTATCAAGGAGTCCCGGTCGACCGCGCTCCAAATACAACGACCTTTGATTAAAGATAAGGAAACAGCTGTTAAACAAGATGATTCCGCAAAATTATAATAAATTATAGAAATGTATCGACATTAGAATTATATTCACATAAAATAAGTTACAATATGATAATTTTGTTATTTAAACAAAATTCTTAAATTAAATTTCCCGCCAAAAATTGATTTGACATAAGTACATACATTAATTTTTACTAAGTAATAAGTATGATGAAATCTTTCCTCAGCATCGCTTCCGCAAGATTAATAACCATATTTAACCTGCGCCATTTTAACTGAACAGGTTCCGTACTTTTCTAGAGAAAGACAAACATTGTAATTTAAAAAAAAACTTCCTAGTAAGGTGAAAATTAATCTCTCTCAATGTTAAACGCATCTATTTATCAACTAACAAAGATTATTTATATATAATTTACATCTTAAGACTATGTACATAGAGTATACAATCGTTTGAACGTTACGGGAATCGAACCTTGATCGTTATAACGCGAGGTCGGCGTACAGAAGGTCACACAACAGCAATGTCGGTAGAAAAATGTTAATTTTTATCACTAAGGAAATAAATAGCATTATACTCTTGTTTGAAGAGTTGGTTAAATTAAAGATATTACTAATATTACTGACATAAATAAAGTTGAATACAGTCAGTTTTCATGTTTTATATAAAAACAGTGTAACTATAAGTTACATGGTTAAGTATACACATACTAAACTTATTTAATACATTTCAATGAAACTTTATGATTGAGGTAACGTCGGAATAAGAAATAAATTTATGGATAACTAAATGAAATTGGTATATTTATAAAATAATGATATTTGGTATATATAAATGGAAACGAAATATCTTCAATCTTACGACAAGTCCGCATCTTCACACTACATACTGGAAGTTAATCGTCATTTTACTTACAGTATTTATTCATTAATATTCACACATACACACACACACACATACATACATACATACATACTAGGTACATAGTGTAAACTAAGCCTTAAGTTTGTTTGTGTATTATGTAAAGGACAGATAGACAAACACACACACATATATATATATATATATATATATATACAGGGTGACTGGTGAATTACTATCGATATTTGAGGACGTGATATTTGACGATCATATATGACAAAATAAAAATTAATATAACATAAATATTAATAAACTTCTAAGTAAAGTTAACCAAAAGTTATGTAATTAATTACGCATCGTGTGAACACCCTACAGATTAGGTATACACACACACACACACACACTCACACAGACGCGGCGGCGTGTTGTTGTATCAGCACGTCGCCGCACGCGTCCACACTTGAACACTTGGAACGTGTACACACTTTATTTATTTATACGGAAATTTGGTCAAAAATTAAGTACCTATTTTTTTTACATAATTCGAATGAGAATCATATACCGAGTATGCTCCTTAAATATTGATAGTAATTCACCAGTCACCCTGTATATATATATACATAAGGTGTATCAGTATGTCCGTATGTAATGAGCTCTCCGCTCCACTTACAACTATTGTTATCACAGTATTAATTAACACGACTGCCGAGCCTCTTGTATGACGTTTAATTAAATACTAATACTTATATATATATAATGTAACATACGGACAAACATATATACAAGTTATAATAATAGTCTTGGTCATAATAATGTAAAAAAAAACCTCGAAAATTTATAGTTTATATACATTCGTTAATACTATTGAGATATAATACTCGCAAGTTTTATATATTTAAATTAAACTAATAATATTTTTATATACTACATACGCGTGCTTTATTTTTGTAAAAAACTACATACTACCGAAATATCGGTTACTTTTCATACTTTACATCTCGTCTTAATGATCACGGTTGCTGTAAAGTAACCGAAACGTCGGGAGTATGTGGTTTTTTTACAAAAATTAATCTGAAAATATTAGATTCATTTAAATTAATTCATCAATACTATAATATGGGACGTATTAAAGTTCTCTACACTGTAAGTATTTAGTTTACCTATAAGGACTCATAGTAAGGTGTAATGCTTTATATAATTTGTCCGTCTGTTGAATGTTCTTCGCAGACGTCACGTGTCGCTCGAAACAACGTGTACGCTAAAAATAACTCGAACCTTTACCACGAGTTACTAACTATTCACTACATACTGAAAGTTTGACGTTTTAACACGATAGTTTTCGTGGCTAATCGCTAGTTGCACAACACTATAGAAAATTATATATTAAAATCCTACTAATATTGATGAGATTCTGTGTTAATGTATGTATGTATAGTGCTCTGTAGTACGATAATTACTAAACGGATTTTGATGAGACTTTACAGTAATGTAGCTTACATATAAGAATAAGACAGACATAATATTTGAATAGTGGTTGAAGTCAAAAAAACTATATTCAATCCTGCCTTTTAGTTACAATATAAATAATAATTTCGTGCCCTTTATTCATTTATTTTTGAGCTTTAATCGAAAATACACAGGGAAAAGATGCGAGGAAATAGTAGTTACATATTACATAAATATATTATGTATGGGTTTAAAGATTTCATAATATAAGTAACTGGATTTGTTGCGACATTACTAAAAATCTTCGTTGAAGATAATTTTATTTATAATATTCTTATTATATATTACATATAAAAAATTAAAGTATGTATGTTTGTTTGTTCGTCATATATTCGGAATATATAATCTTTACTATTACAAAATATTAATTAATTTTTCATACATTTTCTGTACGCCTACAACAAGTTTGCATTGACGCTTTACTTACAGTATCGACGTAGATTTATGAATGATATACTTTTAACGCGTCGTTAATGTATTTATGCGTACTTGGATTAAGGGTAAAGAAAATATAGAGCTTAAAATGGACAGAACTACCATAATACATGTCTACAGAGTTACAAAGCTACTGGACATGTGATTATAATCCTCAAACAAAAATTTTTCGACACTCAATATGGAAAACATAAAATTTGTATAAAACTCGTAATATATTCAACTACAGAAAAAAATTATACAATAACGAAGGTTAAGAAAACCTTGAAGAGGAGGAAAGTTGAGAGCATTTGAAGATAAACATATACATATATATATATATATATATAAGAAATGTTAGGGTCTGTTTGTGTCTAGTTATTAATGTATTTACTAAGTACATATACATTAATATATCATAGGTATATAATATGTTTTGATACACCATCAGTCTGTCCGTTACTTCCACGTCATCTGTGAAACGGATGCACCGATTTCGACGTAACTTTCACTCACATACATTTCATATAATATAAGATACTTTATTGTAATTTTGCTTTAGAATATTACAGACGACGCGACCCTACATATACTATATGTAATTTATATATATGTCGGTGGTTATGTCTCAGTGAGTACATAAACTCCACAATGACATAACATAGTATACAAGTTCAATGCTGGCGGACCGGTCGGCTGGCCCACTTACTCGACCCACTGACATACATAGGTGACCTTAGACATACATGTTGATACACTGCAATAACAACTTTATGCATATAGATATAAGGTATATTATATGTATTTGATAATCAAATTACCTTAATGTATGAGAAATCTTTTGAGTTTTCATTATATATCTTATTTTTAATGTAAGATATTTTTTACAAATAATTAGTCTTCTTCTACCTGGCAATTTCCCAGCTATAGCCAGGGTCTGCCTAATATGTGAATAGTTTTGCCTAATTGTTTTTTACGATCCGCCTGCCAGACATCAACCCTCTTTGGGAATGCATTAATCAGTGATGTCTAAATACTAAAAGTACATATGACTCGGAAAAATCACATTGGTACTTGCCCGGACCAGGATAGAACCCGCGCCCTCATGCATGAGAGGCGGGCCTTTTAACCACTAAGGCCACCACTGACCAAATAATTAGTATTTTACATATATTAGAGTTAAAAACTCTATGGAGGATAAAAAAATGTATTTTTTATTAGAAGATTAAATGAAGATACAAGTGATCAAATAATTTATAATATGATTGACCTGAATCACCAACAGAATGTGTTTCTTGAATAAGTAAGTATAGGTGTACAGTCGACAAAACAATATTAATTTTAAATGAACACTATGCTTAGCTTCAGTTATAGGTATATATATCCTTAGACCCTTGGCAGACCCTGGCTAAAGCTGGGAAATTGCCAGGTAGAAGAAGAAGATATATCCTTAGAAATAATGCCTTTCAAACTATTTCCATTTAAACAATATGAATTCAAATCTAAATATAGCTTGATAAATAACAGAAATATGTCAAGAAAACTACGTCATTCACGTTATCTACGGTGCATTAACGTTGCAGACTACGTCAGCGACGTGCACGTATGCGTCTACGTTACGGACGCACGTAACGTGTTCACGGCACGTGAGGCGTGTGACGTGACGTAGTT